CACCAGGTCCCGTCCCGACCCTTCTCGCTCATCTCGAATCAAGAACACACGGCTCCTCAAGCCGTTGGCCAGACTCCTAACATTCGACCTTTCCCTCTGGAAGACCGAGGCTAATCGCCACCGAATTACTCCGTTCGTGCGCTCCATTAAAGTCGAACACCCACAGTTTCGACGCATGATTCAAAGCGAGATTACTTCTCACCCGCCGAAACTATTATTCAAAGTAGTATTCATTCTTTTTCTCTATTTTCGGCTTTCGCCTTTCTCTCACTGGATTTTTTGAAGGGCTTCTCTCTAGCCTAAAATGGTTACCCTCGATGCTCTCTGAGAAGTGTCACCTCAGATCGTACACTACCCGTTAACACACAGGCACATTAATATTCTTTAAATTCAATAAAACTATCACGTAAGTATTTTTGTTCCATTTGAAACAAGATAATGAAGGACTTTGTGATAAGAAAGCACTAATCATTGTTTTAACTGTAGATTTACTTGTAACTACTCATTCGAATAATATTCATTATTTGATTTTTTCATAAATACGATTTTCTTTATTCCTTCTCATTTCCTTTATTATTCAAATCGAGGTATCAAAATACGATGACGTAATGATTTGGACAACTAACGAAATGCAAAACTATATTTCCTAACCTTTCTTGCACAAGCTATGAAATGGTTTTTCATATATGTTCATACCATTTATGATCTTAAGCATACGCTTTGAGGAGTACAGCTTGAGGCACCTAAGTTTGGCAAATATCTTCGGTTATTTTTCGATAATCTTCTCCCCCATACGTCACATACAGATTTTACTTTTTGTTGTTGTTGTTGTTGTTGTTGTTGTTGTTGATAAATAGATCTAAATCTGCATATTTTAGACATCGCGAAGCGGTACGCGGCTAGATTGTTGATGTTGGTACAAATAAAGTGTTTTGACTTCTTGTTTATAAAATTAGGATTTTGAGAACCTCCAAAACCACACTATTTGGTACTATTTTGATTTTTCAGAAATATTTAAGATTTCAATTTTTTTAGCTCCTGAGACAGTAGTAGGCGCGTTCGGAAACAAAATAATCAATCAACGTTTAAATCTTTCACACTACACTTTAGTCATCTTAATTATTCAAATTGCATACGTCACTTTTTCTCCTCTTTAAGTGCTTTTCGTCTCTTTGAGTACATTTTTAAGCCTGAAATGTTTCCATGTGTATTTCAATCTCGCCTTCAAACTATTTGGGTTATAATCGAGAAATTCTACCTGAATCACAAGTTATTAGTTATTAGTACTTTACAAAATGTCTTGTAGATATTTTGTTTGTTTCATTAATGTGTAAATTTCATTAGTGGGTATAATTTCTTAGAGGCATCACTTATATACGAGGCTGTTGAACGCTCTCTTACGTATAAGGTTTTGACAAACTGAACGTTGTGAATTCGCGAGTGGAAGATTCGTAAAACACGAAACTCACAACCGATACTCTGCTTCAATGTGAATAAGTCTCTTTGCATTACTGTTTCTCTTTGATTCTTCACTATCGATTCCCGTTTCCCTCGGCGCTGTCATCGTTTTAGTGCCCGAACTTCGGACGACATTGACTTCGTTTCACTTCCTCTCATTAATTTCTCCTACTTCTCTCCCTGAAATTCCTTCCGAGAACCACTTAGAGGTGTTACACGACCACTCAACGACGATCGAATTGAAATTACAGTATTCTGACATCTTCACTAAGAGAGAAATAAGTGAAGGCACTAAAATAAATTATTTTCTTTCTCTGAAAGCTCACCAAATAAATCGGTAATAATTACAAGAAGAGATAAGTTATATGTAAGAAAATCAAACACCTTTCAAAAACGTTTTATGTATTTAATATTTAGATTCGTAGCAATATTGATAGAGGATCTGAAGGAGAATATTTGTTATTATCAGCTACATCATGACATAGCGCATTAGATATTTCATTAAATTGCAATATAGTACACCAAAATGTTTTTTATAGCTATTTCATTTACTCAACATGTATCACTGAAAACAGGTCGATGTTTACAGGTACTGAAGACGGAATTACAACAAATATTTTACAGCTGACTTAATGAAACTCGTTAACGAAATAAGGGTTCGAGTACATCTTAGAACCAGTAGTGGTGCAACAGCACAAACTTGTTCACGTTATTTGTAACTTTGACGATTTTCTAAAATTCAGAGGGTTCTACAAAAATGAAACCTGCGGCATTTTTAAAACGTTCTTTGCCCTACCAGAAAACAATTGAAGAAATAAATAGGTGGCACAAATTTATATTTGATTTGTTTCATACATGTACTATTCACTACACATGTTTTACATTTCTATCCCGAATATATACACACATTTATATCTTATTGTAGGTTTCTAGTTCACCATTGTTAACATTTAACTTGCTTGTCTCTAAGCAGTCGAGTTTATAGATATGTAGTACCTTCATGAGAAAGTTTCTTCACATTTCTGTTCGTTGCTTCTCTTGACCAGGCATTCTTGAGGTCTCCCTTGATATCGATCCGTATTGTGAGTTGCCTTCCTGAATTGCGCCAGCTTCCCTTGGCACGCGTAGTGCTTTGCGTCCACTGCTAAGAATCCATTCTTATGACAAAATCTCACCATTTCCGTTTTCATCGCCATGGACGAGTCGCTGCATCTTACAGTGCCTATTCTATTTCTAATGTCTGAATTTCTTATTATGTCTCATAAGCAAATTAAAAGAATGTTTCTTTCTATTTTTCTATGACATCTCTGTTCTGTAGTAATTTGTGCTTTTGCTGGTAACGGATCGGCTCAATATGTACGTACTGGTGTAATGCATCAATTTATTACTGTACTTTTATTGTGAATATTTATTTTCTTGTCTAACAAAATAAAATCAAAGGTCACAACTTATTTCGTGCTAAAGATATCCTTCTGTTTATTTATTTTTGTACATATTTCATATGGTATATATTATTGAAGATATTCATTTTTTAACGAAGTACCTCTCTCGATGATTATCCATTCGGTTAAGTTACTAGAAATGAATGTCATGTCGATATTTTACACGGTCTTTTTAGTTCTTCCAGCATATTTTCTCATTCTTTCGCGAATATAGGAAAAAGAGCCAAGTCATCAGCAAAGCGTAGGTTGGATTCGCCCCTTGCGTTTACTCTTATCTCTGCGAGATTTCCATGAATTCGCGAGATTTCAATGAAGAAATGGTGTTATATAGTATGCAGTGTCGGTGATATTGGCTCTCTCTCTCTCTCTCTCTCTCTCTCTCTCTCTCTCTCTCTCTCTCTTCATTTTTGTCATGCTTACCATTGTTATTTAAGGTCGCATCAACTTCTAGGTCATTAGCGATCACCATTGCCCGCGATCCTTCGGCCCGAAATCGCTACGGCACTACTGCCTTAGCGATCTCGGCCATCTGGACCGGCTCATACCATTATACTTGTATGTCTGTTGTACTTGTATGTTTGCCAAACTTCTTGTCTACTTTCAGTCTTCCCATTAATTTTGTGGAGGGTTGATTATTTCTATTTGTTCTACCATGCCCAATGCTTGGGAATAATCCTCAAATGCAAATTTTATTTCAGAAGAAATTCTTGTACATTTTAAATAATCTGATTATTTTTATAGTTGATTTGTCGTGATAATATCAATCTAAATCCCCCTGATATTTTTAGTGAACTATGAAGGACGTATTTCCTTCCCCATTTCTCCCCTTTGGGATACGTCTGCTCAGTTACAATATATCAATATTAACCATTGCCAATGGTGATCTTGACCTCGTATTTTAATGAATTATTGGATCATTTAGGCAGGTCAATTAATATCCATTTGTTGTTACAGTGCCAATTCAGCGTCATTTGTTACAGCGTCCATATATTTGATTCTCTTCAGGGGTATAAGGTACTTGATGTTGCTTAGTACGAACACCATATTGTTAGTAAATAGTATAACCTAGAAGCAAGCCTAATAATATGGCCGAAGTATTGGTACGTAAGAAATGGATATTTATTGACATACCGTCACGATCAAAAACTTCAGTATTATCATTCCCAATGATAAACATATTCAGTGATAGTCCGTTCCATAAATATTAACCAGAGATTGAATAACGTCAACACAAATATAAACTGATCCAAATATACAAAAAAACTGCTTATATCATTTTTGGAAGGGAGAGAATCTTTGAACTGGACTAGAAACGCAATCGATCTGGGGTCCACAAACCAAGAAGAACTTATCAAATGTCTATTGAGTGTAATTGTTAGAATTGTTGCCGCTGCTGTCACAGCGCGCGCGTGTCGTTGGCGTGCCCCGCAGTGCCCGCGCGCTTCGCCCTGGCGTCGCAGAACACGACGGTGGCGCGGGGCGGCGCCGCCACGCTCGAGTGCCGCGCCGAGGGCGACAAGCCCATCGCCATCGAGTGGTTCCGCAACGGGCGGCGCTTCGACGTGCGCCACCACCAGCGCGCCAGCCTGGCCGAGCAGGAGGAGGCGTGGGGGGCGGTGTCGAAGCTGACGCTGCGGCGCGCGCACCGCGACGACTCGGCGGCGTTCGCGTGCGTCGCCAGCAACCTGTGGGGCAGCGACCGCGCCGAGCGCGTGCTGCTGGTGCACGAGCCCCCCGAGCCCCCGCGCGCGCTGCGCGCCGTCGCGCTCTCCGGCCGCGCCGCCAACCTCAGCTGGGAGCCCGCGCACGACGGCAACAGCCCCGTCACCGCCTTCGTCGTGCAGTACAAGAACGTCTCCGGTGAGTGCCGCCGGCCGCCGGCCGCCTCGCAGCCGGTGCGACCCCCCAGCCGATGCTTTCGGAACTGGGGTTAGAAACACAGCAGCACTTCAAGGTCACGACCTGGGAGGAGAGGGGAACGTTGACATCCAATCGAGAACTCTAATACCAAAAATTCATGTCGCAAAAAAGCTCCCGATTGGATGACAGTGTCCTTCTCTCCGTCCAGCTCGTAACCTTGCAGTGCTGCTGTGTTTAAATCGGGGTATAGGCAAGTGGTTTTGGGAAAGTGTTCCCAAGCGAATATATCAAAACGTACACACAATATCTGAAGCGGTGAGTTTCAAAACTGTCCAAGTTAACTTGTTCCGATTTTGAGAAAACGTTTAGTTTCTAAAAATAGTAAAGAAAACTACAAATACCTAATGTCATTAACTGTTCATTTAAATAATATTCGATATATTTATTATAGGCTCCATCTGGGGACAACATGACCTTGTTGGTGGGGGAGCTTGAGTGCCCCGTGAGCTGTGTCGGCGGTAGCGTAGCGGCTGTTAGGGCCTGCCTTGCCGTATATGTCGAAGGGGACGAGCCACACGACGGACTCCAAAAGAGGACCTCAGCGCCAGAGAGGATTGCGAAGACACTCTGGAATCTTCGAAAGAAGAGGAAGGGCAAGCGAGGTTCTTGAGGCGGTTGGAAGCCAATTCGCTGAGAGCGAATACAACAACCTCGATGAAAAATGCATATTCTTCTCTGTTTAGACTTTGTGCGAAGAGCTGCTGACCCTCCATCGATTTTTTTACATGACAGCTTCAAAGAAGTCAGATGGACAGAACTGATGATGAATTTGGCAAGAAAGAGGTTAAGAGATCTGGAATAAATGATGTAATAAAGATACTTGCTTGGAATGTAAGAGGTCTATGTATTAAATAAATGAAAGTTGATAGAAAACTAAAAGAGAAATGAATAAATATATTCATCATCGCAGAAACAAATGAAAAATCTAAAGAAACAAAAGATCTGGAAAATCCGTAATGTACAATGGGGTACAGCAGTAAGGAAGAAGAACAGTGGGGAGAGTATCAGTTCTCATAGATAAAAAATAAAATCAAAAGTTTCACGTTTGTTAGTAATAAAATATTTGTATTACGATTGAAAATAGAATATAGGTATCTTTCTCTATTTTGTGTATGCTCTCCTGAAGATGGCAGGACAGAACTATTTGAAGAAATTCTCTAACAAATATACATTTAAGTCAATGAAAAGTATCATGTCATATTGCCAGGAAACTTAATGCCAAAGTAGGTAATTCACCAATTTTTCAAATAGTTGGAATTTTTGGAGATAAACATTTAAATTCAAGTGAACAAAAACAGAGAGAATTTGCAACTTTCAACATTTTAAATATAATAAAAAGTATATTCTTCTGTAAGAAGTACTATATATCATCTCTTCCTCTATACACTCATGTATGAAGAAAGAGACATAAATTCAGACCACTATATGTTCAAACCAGATACAGAAATCCTCGCAAGAATGAAGAAGAAAAAGTCTTCGAAGTCTGTCAACTTCAACAAGAGAGCGTATAACATCTAGCACAGGAGATTGAAGATATCAACATTAATGACGATATAGGCAAGTGAGTTCAGAAGTTTTTACTAAAAAAAGAAGTGAATATGAAGTATCTACAAATAACGACATTATAACACAAAGAAAAAAACATTGCTAAAAAAATAGTTAGAAAACTACACAAACAACATCGTGGAAAAATTTATTAGCCAACAAGAAAATTATATTCATAGTAGATAACTGCTCATATACGAGGTCTTTAGGCATAATAATAATGAGAAAACAACATAAAAATGAAAATAATAAAAGAAAACCAGCGCTTTGAACATTGTGAATCTTATGGTAACTTAATGTAGATGACAATGTACCATATGAAATGGCAGTGCATGCTTCAGTAGATAATAGAAGTAATAGAAACTGCAATAAATTAGCTAAAAAATGAAATGCTCCAAGTCTTGATTAAATAAATGGTGAACTAATGAAATATTCAGACATTCTATTCAAACTAAGACTCCTCGACCTACTTTTGTTTTTTGTTTTTTGGGGGAAGAAAATCAGTATTCCTGATGAATGGCAAAGGTGTTTTTTATTTTAAAAATTAAGAGAAAAGTGCTTGTTAAACCTACCAAGGTATAAAATTAATTCCTTCATGCTATAAAATATATGCAAAATTTTAAAAAAAGAGGCTTGCTGGTTTATCACATATGAAAGTAATAGAAGAAAAATGAGTTTAGAAAAAAACGCTCGTGTCCAGATAATATATTTTTTACTAATCGACAAGATACAGAAAAATCAAGAAAATTTAATCGTGAGGTCTATTTGGCTTCTAATGGTTATGAATAAGCTTTCGTTAAAATACAGCACTCCACTCTATGGGAAATTGTGGAAAAAGAGGCTATTCACACCGCTTAACCAATGAAACGAAATATCTGTATGAAAAGAACTTGGTTATTTTAAATTTAAATGGAAGATATTCAAAACAAATGAAAATGAATTAAGACGTTCGCCAAAAATGTCGTCTCTCTCCAACGTTGTTTAATTTACACCAAGAGGATGTCGTCCGAGAATGGAAGACCACAATCACCCCAAGAATAAAGCTTAGAAATAGAATATGCTAGAATTCACTAATTTTTGCTGAGAGTCAGATTATAATACAGGATATTGAAGATGAATTACAAAGAGCTAACACATAACGTTAAATCCCCATGCCGGCCTTCCTGATCAGAATTATGGTGGTTTCCCTCTGCCATTAAGGCGAGCAATGCAATGGTTCTTTTGAAAGGCCACGACCGTAAAACTGGCATCGCTAGCTGAATTCGGTAACTACGTGAAATCATGAAGGTTTCGCGAAATCGGGACATCGCGGGTTCCTGGTTGGGTGGCCGTCTAGGAATCCAACGACGTCGAGGCCAATTGCCCCTTACGGCTTTACGAGGCATGATGACTCAATACAAATGCGAAATATAAATTAATGGTAGTCATTTCTGTGTTGTATGGAAGTGAATTTTGGATTGGGAGGGAAAAATAAACAGTGGTTACAATCTGACGAAATGAAATTTATGAGATCTGAAAAGAAATGAGCGAGACTTGCTACAATAAGAAATGAGGTTATAAGAAAAAAGTGTTCAAGCAATCAGTGACAAAGTTCAATCTTACAGATATGATTGGGTACAGCATGTTGAAAGAAAGGAACAGATATGCATTCCAAAGCAGGTCTTTATGTATAGATCGCAAGGTAGAACTGAGACAGACATACCACTACAAAAATGGAATTCATCGAAAGGTTATGGAGCTATTCCTAGAGTGCAGAAGAAAAAGATGATGATGATGATTTATGAAACATGTTTTTTTTTATTTTACTGAAAAATGACGAAACAGATTATATGGCGATAAGTCTGTCCTGAAACCGATGGATTGGTCTAAACCGGTTTTGCAACTAAGGAATTACACTTATCCAGTCACCATAACTTATTCAGCAAATTGTGAATGTAGCTGTTTTTAACACTACTATTAAATGTTTACCGTCTTTGAAATTATGTGATTGGTCGTACCCGCTTGTGAAACTCAAGCAGTATATATATATATATA